GTCCCTGAAATAACAATCTATTTTGTGATTCCAGTTTAATAGTATATTTTTTTTCCATTTGACTAATTATCATACATGTACATATTTTGTTTCTTGTGTTTATAGTATGTCTGTCTATAAGTCTGCAAAAATTAAATCCTAGCTAGCTTGCCCATAAATTTTAAGTGGGATGGGCTATACATATAGCTTCCACATTTTATAGGTTTATTTCTTGTGACAATTTAATAAGACCTTTTATTTGGGTACCATTAATTTTTACCTCTGATCGCTTGACATGGGATACACATTTTTACAAGAAAAATACCAAACTTTAAACTCTGCCTAATTTTTGATCAGTAGGTGCTAGGGCTTTCATACTTATCATGACATATTGTATTCATTTTGAACTGTCAACAGGAAATATGTTTGACCTTGACCCTAGAGTTTGAACCACTTAAAAAAAAAATTAACCTTGGCAATTAACTTTTGAAAAGGAATTACTAGAGATTTCTTTATTTAACATAGACTTTCTTCTGACACTAACAATTTGAACCCTTGACCTTTGAGTTTGACATATATTTGAGAAACTTCAACCTTCGCCATAGGCTTCCATACTGGGACATCAGTGTTTCACAAACACATCTTATCTACATTATTATTTGGTGGTGTCTCCATATGAGGGAAGATGTATTCACAACAAACAAACAAATTACTAAAGAAAATATAAAACATAAATATGTTGGTCATGCATATCTCTGCATGAAAAAAAACAGCTTTTCAAATACTCCAACCATATTGTAACCCTTTCAAAACACTCATTTGAGCTTTTTTTGTTTCCTTAGCATATAATGTCTGTCGTGACGTGTTGTCCATCTGTTTGTCTGAAAACTTTTTACATTTTTAACTTCTCTAGAACCACTGGGCGAATTTTACCCGTACGAAAGTTCGAGGCGGAATAGGCACGGCTTGGGCACGGCTAAGACACGGAATCCGTACGGGTTTTTAAAAAGCCGCACGGGTTCTGCATGTCCAAGACACGGATACGGCTTCCGTGTCTGAAAGTGAGGAATCCTCACTCACAGAAACCCGTGTGGAGACACGGACTCCGTGTCCCAGGGAGACGGTTTTTAACTGAGGCGGGTTTTGCTTCAAACTATATTTATTTATATCTCACGGCTTTTTACTGAGCATGCTCAATCATAACTTCCTTTATTTGAATACTAAATTGGAGGGATTCTTGGTCATGAGCTAAGTCAGTGTGTCTTTTTGCTCTATTTAAAGGATATTTAACCAATAGATGTCAGTTGGAATTGTATTTATGTAAGTCTGGGATAATTTCTTCACTTTTAAACTAAATGCAGTAAGTGTAATCTAGAATAAATTAGTCAATTTTTCAATTTTCATGATCTTCCTGTATTGCAATGTTGACAACGAACATCTTAAAATAGTTTAGGCTTATTTGAATGACTTTAGTTGGACTTTCACTAATGTGACATCACTGTGCTATAGAGTGAAAGTTTTATTTATACTAAATTCTTTCTCAGATTGTGCAAACTTATAGCTACTAGATTAAATTACAATTGAATATTGTACATTATCATTAAAATCTTAATTAAAAACTAGCATGAATTGTAACTGATAAAGTTAATCTTTAACAGAAAGTAAATGTACACATTCATATAAGATTTTGAATTTTTGAAATTCTAAAACTAAGCATAAATGTAAAGCAATGTGAAGTTAGTTTGGTTTCAGTCACTATTTTCAGGGCATTCACAGTTACATCAGGACATTCTCTAAAGGCCATGACCTAGATCTAGACGAATGCACACATCCCGTGACTCCTTATATGGTATAAGGCACGGCTTTTTTGACACGGGTTTCAAAAAACCGTGTCTCCATATATGGAAAAGGACACGGGTTTACAGAATCCGTGAGTCCATATGTGGAAACAAGCACGGCTTTCTGACACGGGTTTTGTAAAACCGTGTGATCTCATTTAAATAATTCGGCCAATATCCCGTGCCGTTCCGTGCCTCGACCACTTTTAGGCACGGCTTTCCATACATGCTTTACATAGGAGCACGGAATGCTAAAGCACGGGTTTCAGGAGACGGAATCCGTGCCTGAGCCGTGTCTAAGCCGCCCGGACTGTTTCGTACGGGTACCCAATTCATATAGAAATATGTACATTTGTATGTCAGACTCAGTCCATCTGTCTCAAAAAATTTAATCTTGGTTATCACGGTCATATCTACAGAATGAGAAGAGACATTCATGTTAAAATTATTATTAGTATATTTACCTGTGAGAATGGCATGTTTTTTTTTTTACATGTGACCTAGAAGTTTGACCAACTTGCAAAAAAATTAAGTTGTTATAAATTCATCATTTTGAAAGAGAAAAGTTAGGGCATTCATATCATAATGCATGTTTATTATTACCTGTGATAAAGACCTTTCCAAATATTTTTACACTGTGACCTTGACCTTGAAGCGATCAAGCCTAACCTACTTTTCAAAAATGTTGCATTTGCTTATAACTTTTGATTGAGATGAGATATGACTCTCACATTTGACATGTACATAAATTACTCATAAGAATTCAAGGTGTTTCCCAGCATGCAATGTTTTTTTTATGCGCCCCAATTTTTTAGGGGCGCATATTGTTTTTGTCCTGTCTGTTTGTCTGTTTATCTGTTTGTCTGTTTGTCTGTTGTCAAGTTTAACCTTGGCCAATACTTTTGAACCGTAAGAGATAGAGACTTCATATTTGGTATGCTTACTCCTCTAACAAAGTTCTTTCAAATGACATCAAGGTCAATGACCTTGTGACCTTGACTGCGACTTATATGCTAAAAATAGGTTTTTCAAGTGTTGGTCATAACTTTTGAACCATAGGAGATAGGGACTTCATATTTGGTATGCATACTTCACTAAATAGGTTCTTTCAAACAACACCAAGGTCAATGATCATGTGACCTTGACTGTGACCTTTATACTAAAAATAGCTTTTTCCACTTTTTGCCATAACCTTTGAACCATAGGAGATAGAGACTTCATATTTGGTTCGAATACTGCACTGATAAAGTTCCTTCAAATGACATGAAGGTCAATGACCTTGTGACCTTAACGGTGACCTATATGCTAAAAATAGCTTTTTCTACTTTTTGCCATAACTTTTGAACCATAGGAGATAAAAACTTCATATTTAGTATGCATACCCCACTAATTAAGTTCTTACAAACAACACCAAGGTCAATGACCTTGACTGTGACCTATATGCAAAAAATATAGCTTTTTGTACTTTGTTGATGCCGGGCGCATAGTATTTCACAAACACATCTTGTTACCCCTTGATGTTGATGTTTTACATAATTTTCAAAATATTTAACCCTCCTAAAAGATTATTAGGCTTCTGAGTAACATTAAGGAAGACTTCAAGTAAGACAGGGCTTTTTGCACAAAAAGCATCATTTTCCGACCCACATTTGACCCCCCGGGGCAAAATCTAAATTCCAAAACCTTACTGCATATCTACATGACCCCACCAACCATCTCCCAAAAGATGATTAAGCTGCTGAGTAAAATGTAAGAGGAGTTCAGGGAAAACAGGGCTCTTTGTTTGAAAAACATTATTTTTCAACCCCCATTTGACCCCCCGGGGCAACATCAAAATTCCGAAACCTTACTGCACATCTACCTGACACCACCAACCATCTCCCAAAAGATGATTAAGCTGCTGAGTAAAATGTAAGAGGAGTTCAGGGAAAACAGGGCTCTTTGTATGAAAAACGTCATTTTTCGACCCCCATTTGACCCCCCTGGGCAAAATCAAAATTCCGAAACCTTACTGCACATCTACATGACACCCCAAACCATCTCCCAAAGGATGATTAAGCTACTGTGAAAAATGTAGGAGGAGTTCAGGGAAGAAGGGGCTTTTTATATAAAAAACGTCATTTTTCGACCCCCATTTGAACCCCCGGGGCAAAATCGAAATTCTGAAACCTTACTGCACATCTACATGACACCACCAGCCATCTCTCAAAAGATGATTAGGCTGCTGAGTAAATTGTAGAAGGAGTTCAAGGAAGAAGGGGCTTTTTGTATAAAAAACGTCATTTTTCGACCCCCATTTGATCCCCCGGGGCAAAATCAAAATTCCGAAACCTTACTGCACATCTACATGACACCCCCAACCATCTCCCAAAGGATGATTAAGCTACTGTGAAAAATGTAGGAGGAGTTCAGGGAAGAAGGGGCTTTTTGTATAAAAAAACGTCATTTTTCGACCCCCATTTGATCCCCCGGGGCAAAATCGAAATTCCGAAACCTTACTGCACATCTACATGACACCCCAAACCATCTCCCAAAGGATGATTAAGCTACTGTGAAAAATGTAGGAGGAGTTCAGGGAAGAAGGGGCTTTTTGTATAAAAAACGTCATTTTTCGACCCCCATTTGATCCCCCGGGGCAAAATTAAAATTCCGAAACCTTACTGCACATCTACATGACACCCCCAACCATCTCCCAAAGGATGATTAAGCTACTGTGAAAAATGTAGGAGGAGTTCAGGGAAGAAGGGGCTTTTTGTATAAAAAACATCATTTTTCGACCCCCATTTGATCCCCCGGGGCAAAATCAAAATTCCGAAACCTTACTGCACATCTACATGACACCCCCAACCATCTCCCAAAGGATGATTAAGCTACTGTGAAAAATGTAGGAGGAGTTCAGGGAAGAAGGGGCTTTTTGTATAAAAAACGTCATTTTTCGACCCCCATTTGATCCCCCGGGGCAAAATCAAAATTCCGAAACCTTACTGCACATCTACATGACACCCCCAACCATCTCCCAAAGGATGATTAAGCTAGTGTAAAAAATGTAGGAGGAGTTCAGGGAAGAAAAGTGTGACAGACGGACGGACGGACGGACGGACGGACGGACGGACGGACATGAGTAACAACAATATACCCGAACTTTCTTTCGAAAGTGCGGGTATAACAATACAATAAATCTGATTTTATCAACCATTCGATTCCTCTGTATTGTTATACATCTCCACTAAACTTTGCAGTCGCCTTTTGATTTTCTTCTGATCATCTATTGTACATTCAATGACCATTCCTTGGAACCTGTGATCTATGTGGCCCTCCATAGGTTCTGTGAGACAGGCGTTTAGGTAAGAAATGGCTCTAGGGAGTGACTTTTCAATGTTAATGGTAAATTGATGTTCAATTTCATGCAGTAGTTTGTTCACTTTGTTTAATGCTGCTTCCTGTTCTTCAGATCTTGGTGTTATTACACCTATTTCCACAGTGAGACATCGGCAAACAAGTCTCTCCGCCATGGCTTCAATATCTTCTTTTTCAACTAGAATTGAGAAAAAAAAATCTCATGCAAGCAATCTTTGAAGTTTATAGTCCTCATTATAGTCATCTTTACAAAAGAATCTAAAATTGGTTCGAACCAACATGCCTTAAATTCAACCTCTTGCAGGCAAACAGTCTGTCTCTTGTCCAGTTTAGGACTCTCTCTCTCATATTATAATTCCAGAGTCACATATTTTGGTATTGTGGTTTGTATTCACAGAGCCTCTGAACTTGCATAAACTTTGTATTCTTTTTTCTTTAATGATGTAGCAAAATTACTTTATAAAATTGAATACATATCTATATCTTTAAAAAGAGACAGACTCCGGCAAATCAACCAAGAATATATTTCTATGAAATGGAAACGTTTTATGAAGAATTATTTATGAACAGCGTTGTCATTTGTAATCGACCAAGCCATATTACTTTAGAATTTTCTAGATCAAATGTGTCAGTTTAATTTTGCATATATTTCACAAGCTTCTAGCAAAACACAAAACACCAAATGTACATTGATTTAAAGGTTACTTAATTATCAAAATCTTCCCAGAATATACTCTACCTTCTACTTCTGGCATATTATGACTAGTTTTGTCCTGTATTCCCTGTAACATTGACAGTAGCACTTCTCTTTCTGTTTCCAATTTTGCAGCATCTTCTCGAAGTTTTTCAACCCGATTTCCTATTTCATCCAAACATTTCCAAACAAAAGGTCTTGTATCTTCCTTATCGGGGCTTCCAACCATCACAAACTGCTTATTGCAGTTCTTTTTGTTCATGTCTTGATAATGTTTATGTTTCGGCTGCCTACTTTCTCTCTTCTAATGGAACTTCGAACCCGATCACATTTAAAATGTTCTAGAACGTTTAGAAAATGAGGAAGAACAGCGCCTGCAAACAGGCAATGCTCAAGTTTTTTTTCTCTGTTAAGCATCTACCCATCTTTCAAAAACCCACCAACCTATTCGCAAAAAAAAAAATAAATAAATAAATAAAAACAGGCCTATGGGCCATAACGCTAACCCGAGTAACTTTGGCCCAGCTGTCACTTAAAATTTCTCCCCTTGTAATACCTATTATGGCCACACCCTAACTCCTAGGGATCATGATATTTAGAATCAAACAAGGGTGATTCCTTTTAAGAATACTTAGGGTTTAATTTTTTTTTTTTTTTTGCCCAGTGCATGGTTCTTAAAATTGAGAAGATTTTAAGATTTGTCCTTAGAATACATGTATTTTACAAAGAAAGAAGAACCAAACTTCTAAACAAAGCACAGAATTATCATAAAAATTTTCATAGCTTAGATAGTTCTCAAAAATATTTTTGGATCATTACATTGTGAAAATATACATATGAATGTCTTAACTACTTCAACTCTGAGACTACCTTTCTAATATCATTTAATTAATATAACATTATAAAGCACAACAACTTGATTTGTATGTATTTTACTTTAACACAATTTGCTTTGTATTTTTTTTACCTCCTCATTGATGATGTACTGCCTTAAAAATTTGTCTACTAATGTATCTTTCATGCCTCTCTTGAGGCCTTTGATTGCATTGTCTATTGTCTAGCTATAATGTATTTTAAAGTGAAAATTGGATTACCTAGGGTAGCCCCACCCTATCCCTAGGGTCATGATTCTAACAATTTAGAATCTACACTACCTAAGGATGCTTCAAAAAAGTTAAAGTTTTTCAGGGAAAAAATCCTATATATTTCAATGTGAAAATTGGATTCCTATTGTGGCCCTGCCAGGTGCCTTGCCACTGGGGGTTATGGCTTCAACAATTTAGAATCTACACTACACAAGGATGATTCCAAAAAGTTTCAGTTTTTTTTAGCCCTGTGGTTCTTAAGAAGAATTTTCAATAAACCAACCTATTTTTGTCTTTTCTTGATTACCTCCCCTTGGACAGGGGCTTTGCCCTTCATTTTAACAAAATGATACTTTAAAATGGTTCTGCTCTAAATGCTTTAATCTGTTTACTCGTCCAAATATAGATGATAAAATCCAGCATCTGAAGCAAGACTGGTAATGTTAATCCCTTGATGCAATGTCCCCGCAAGTTTGTCAAGTTTAAAATTACTGTGATCTGTGAACTCAAAAATTTAATGAATTCCTTCTACATATAAAACAAATTACGGATAAAGTGAAGTAATTTCATAGGTCCCTGTGACTTCGTTATAACTGAGTTTTTCTGTAATCCTAAATGCAAAAACACATATAAATATTTTTATTCAGTTTTTATAATTTTATTGTGTCCTACACAAACTCATCATACATTACACATTTTATTAAGTACATGTATATCATGAATGATCCACATTATCCTGTCTAGTTTCACCTTCTCAGTCTTAAGAAAAATGCATGTTTACATTCCTTTGAATCTTCAGGGTAATATTTATCATAAAAGTCTAGAATAAACTCCTCAGGCTTGAATCCAAACTTCTGGTACATCAACATGGCCGAGTTTGTGGCTGATACATGTAATGTCACATCTTTTCCCATACAGGTCTGTAAATATAATATAAAATGTCTTTAACCGTATGACTTTGAAAATACCCTTGTATCACGACTAAATATTATAATTAATCAATGCTGTTTTCTGGAAAATTACTTCTTTACATTTTGATACCAAAGAGGATACATGTATAATGAACTAAAAATACTACCGGTAGATTGTGCAAAAAATATATATATTTATAAAATTCACTAAAGGCTTGTGTAACAATCCCCTTTTTTAACTTAAGAATATTACCAGGTATTTACTAACTTGTATAAGATGGTAAAGCATGAATTTAGCAATGCCAGCCCTTCTCCACTCCGGGTGAGTAAAGATGAAGGAAATGTAGGCCTCATTAAACTTCACATCAGGCACCATGAAAGAAAACCCTATCACAATTTTCCTGCAAAAGTAAATAAGTAATAAATTTCAGTTTTGCTTTATATACCTGGGTATTGAACATGAAACTGTATTCATGAAACATAATGCTTGATGAGGCACTCACTGACAGTTTGGATTTGTCACTGAACAAAATAAATCACCCTAGCCTTATGATGTATGAAAGTTTTGTTTTTCGATATTTAAAAAAATCATCAAAATGTGTTCAGAACAAAATACAGTATGTCAACTTGCTATAAATAGCAGTCAGAATAGGTAATACATGTATTCTACTTTTACCTGAATAGCACCACACAGCTGAAGTCTGGATACTGTAAACACTCAGACACTAAAAATAAACCAGAAGTCTCTGATGAAACTGTATCTCTACTAGTTCATGCTTACAGTAGTGGAAGAGAAAAAAAAATTGTACATCAGATCCCACATCAGATGTTTGTATGAACTAAGCAGTGAAACTGAATGATACTTAGATGGGTAGAATATAAATAGAATTATGTATCTTAATGCCACTGCTACTGATTTCCAATTATTGAACAAGATGCCAGAGAAATTAAAACCAAGATAGGATATCTGACACTTGACCATCACCAAAGATAGTGTAATAATTCACAACTACAAGATCTCTCTCTCTCTCTCTCTCTTTTTTTTTTTGAAATACCGGGTATACACTGTACAAATATATTTTTTTTATTTATAAAAATTAAGGAAGATATCTTATAAATATCTTTAATATGCTTAATGCACACTAACAGTCTATTCCAGGCCAGAAGAACTCTCTACACAGTGTGTTGACGGAGGGTATGTGTTGTGGTCGTACATAACAATAGTCAATGGGAGGGGGTGGTAGAGGTTTCCAATCTTGCTTGTCTCTACAACACAAAAGCAGGATAAATAAGATCTGACGTTTACTAATTCAGTATAATTTTATGCACTGTGTAAACACAAAATCAACTTGTGAACTTTAAGCAAATGATTTATTCAATGTTAATAATTTTAAATTGTTTGGCATTTTTGCTGCTGATTATGATGTGTATCGGTAAATTAAGACTCTTTCCTGTTTATTCAACGAATACATGTGATACAGCTTTAGTTAGCATTGCTGCCTGTAATTAATCTTGTATCACTGATTGATGACAGACCAAATAAATCATTTTAGCTGACCTGTGTGGATATTTTGGCTAACCTGTGTGAATATGCTTTTATTTCTTCTAATAATCTCATTTTCAGGGGACGAGACTCATAATCTCTTCTTATGAATGGCTTCAGCATCCTGAAAAAGGAAATCAAGTTATACTAACAACTACTCAGAAGTCCAGAGAAGACATTTTCATGCATTTATTCGGCACAGGACATCTGTGCAGAAAAAGTGGGAATTTGCAGAATTAAAATATTTTACTGTTTGAACCAAAAAAAAAATGGTTAAAGGTTTTGTGTAAATTTTCTTTTTTTTTAAATCTGACAGTTAAAATTTTGCATGAGCACTATTCCATCAAACAAATATCTTCTTTTTTAAAGAGTAAAAAAATATCCAATTCTTTCCAGTCAGGAAAAAAGTTAACAAAATGATGGAAGAAGAGAGAAAGAGGTAACAGTAACACTATTTGTTTGGACCATTTCAAAGTGGGGGCATAAAAGGAAAATTGCTCAAGATATACAATGTGAACATTGGTTTTTATTTCTTTGCCTTGTCTGGCAGCAAATAATTTTGGAAGAGATCTTTGTAGTATTACTCTTTTTAAAGATGTAATACAGTTTTCACCCTTGTGTGTAGTGAAGAAATAATTTATATTATAAGGGGTGTTAAGAAAGTTCGTTCCAGGATGAAATATTTTCAAAATTTTCAAAGTAGTACTTAAGTAAAGAGATGAATTTTCAAGTCTGACAAAATCACAAGAGTTTGCTTTAGATTTATAGCAATTCATTTCTAGCAGAAAATTATAGGATTGTTCTTCCTTATGAAAATATATATAACATCTTTAAAGCACCCGAATGATAGAAATGCAGGTCATTTTGAGTGAAAATTTACTTTTGTTTCTTCATAGCTTGCATCAGACAAGCTGATGAGTCTAGGTATAAGACTAATAGATCACTTTTCAAAAGAATAGGAGTGTCATTTTGAAATTTTTCACAGATTTGATAATTTTAGTTAGTATTTGAAAGGATGTTTTGACTTGTGTGCTTAATATATGTAACAAATATACGTCATCCCTAATTTTTCAGAACAGACATAATCTGTTTTATTACCTGCCTTCCCCTTATTGATTGAACAAAAGATAGTTAAAACATTATCAGTAGCAAGAATGGAATCTGTCAACATGAAATATCCCAAATTGTAAACATCGTCTCATCGTACTTCATTTCGAAAATATGAGAAAAATGTGGAACGAACTTTCTTAACACCCTTTACAATGTAATATGTTGGTATATATTATCAAAGTACAAAGCAAAAAGACTTGTTTTTACATATATTCATTTTCAGCATCTCATATTACTTTGCATGCTAGAGGTTAACTCTGAGATACCTTTGACTAGGTCCAGCATATATAGGGAGCATAGGGATGTTAACCAAAGTTCTTACTCATAGGAGTACATCTCAAATTTGACTTTATTTACAGATTTTTTTTTTAACATGCTTTAGTTTTACATTGACAGATTTTGTATGAGATTAGACCTGGAGGTATAAGGACTCCTGATGCTGGTCAGCTGATCATCATCTGTTCCAATCAGTCGATTAATGAAAGTGGGCTGCTGTAACCT